TGGGGCCTGAACTCTGGGACTGGACGCTGTCCTTCAGCTCAGCTCTTCAGCTCAAGGCTAGCGCTCTACCACTTGAGCCACAGCCACAGCACCACTTCCGGCTTTTTTCATTTTGCTTATGTGGTGCTGAGGAATCGAACCCAGGGCCTCATGCATGTGAGACAAGCGCTCTACCACTGAGCCAACTTCCCAGCCCCCCCTCAGCTGTTTTTGCTCAAGGCTAGCACTCTACCACTTGAGCCACAGTGCCGCTTCTGGCTTTTTTTTTTTTTGCCAGTTGTGGGTCTTGAACTCAGAGCCTGGGCACTCTCCTGAGCTTTTTCTTTTTTTGGGGGGGGAGGGGGTCTGGTCAAGGGGCCTGAACTCTGGGCCTGGGCGCTGTCCCTCAGCTCTTCAGCTCAAGGCTAGTGCTCTACCACTTGAGCCACAGCGCCACTTCCGGCTTTTTCTGTTTGCTTATGTGGTGCTGAGGAATCGAACCCAGGGCCTCAGGCTTGCAAGGCAAGCACTCTACCACTGAGCCACCTTCCCAGCCCCTCTCCTGAGCTTTTTTGCTCAAGGCTAGCACTCTACTTTGAGCCACAGCACCACTTCTGGCTTTTTCTGTGTATGTGGTGCTGAGGAATGGAACCCATGGCTTCATACATGCTAGGCCAGCACTCTACCACTAAGCCACATTTGCAGCCCCTAGCCTTTGTTTCTTCTTCTTCTTCTTCTTTTTTTTTTTGGTCAGTCATGGGGATTGAATTTAGGGCCTGAGCACTGGGCCTGAGCTCTTTTGCTAAAGGCAAACAGCCCTCTACCACCTTGAGCCGTAGCTCTACTTCTGTTTTTTGAGTGGTAATTGGAAATAAGAGTCTCACAGACTGCCTAGGCTGGCTTTGAGCCAAGATCCTCAGATCTCAGCTTCCTGAGTAGCTAGGATTACAGGTGTGAGCCACTAGAGCCTGGCTATTCTTTAGTTTTTTGGCTAGGGCTGGAGCTGTACCATTGGAGCCACTTCCACTTCTGGCTTTGTGTTTTTATTTTTTCAGTACTGGTATTTGAACTCAGGACTTTATGCTTGTCAGGCAAGCAGTGTACCATTTATTTATTTATTTATTTATTTATTTATTTAATTTATGTCAGTTGCAGGGCCTGAACTTTGGGCCTGGGTGCTGTCCCTCAGCTCTTTAGCTCAAGGCTAGTATTCTACCACTTGAGCCATAGCACCATTTCTGGCTTTTTGTGCTTATGTGGTTCTGAGGAATCGAACCCAGGGCCTCATGCATGCAAGGCAAGCATTCTACCACTGAGCCACCTTCTCAGCCCCCTGTTATTCTCTTTTTAAAAGCAGTAGGAGGGGCTGGGAAGGTGGCTTGTGGTATAGCGCTTGCCTTGCATGCTCAAGGCCCTGGGTTCGATTCCTCAGCACCACATAAGCAAAAAGAAAAAAGCCAGAAGTGGCACTGTGGCTCAAGTGGTAGAGCGCTAGCCTTGAGCTGAAGAGCTGAGGGACAGCGCCTAGCCCAGAGTTCAGGCCCCATAACCTGACCCCCCCAAAAAAAAAATAATAAAAAAATAAAAGGAGTAGGAATGAAGGCATAGAGAGCTTAAGTGACCTTCTCAATATCACAGAGCTGGGAAGAAGCCCAACTGGGATTTGACCCCAAGCAGCCTGACTAAGGCCTCCTGCAACATCACCCCATCCAACCCTGTATCTTTAATGAACTGTGTGACTATGTTAATCATGCTTTATGTAATTCTCCTAGGGGCAGGGTACAGTTCCCTGCTCACACCTGTCCTCCAGGACAGGGGGAGTAAGCTTTGGAATGTGGATTCCTAAAGGCAGGTTTCCTATATGCAAAGCTGTAAACTGGATGAAGCACTGGGCGTGGGGGTCCCTCCATAGACATAAACACAACACAGAAAGATCCTTAACCTGACAGCACAGGACACCCTCCCTCCCCACTATGGATGGCAGAATACTATCTTGGAGGATAAGTTCCATCACGGATAGCAGACCTCCCCCACCTCTGTCCCCCCAGTGGAATCCTTCCTCACACCTGATGTGAACTGACTGTGGAACACAAAATTCCATTCTAAGAAAAAGCTACTACGGGGAATGTGAACTAACTACCCAGTGTGAACTTTGTGAAAGATAGTAGCCTGCAAGTCAGGCTTGTTATTATTGCTTGCTTGGCTTTTTTTTTTTTTTTTTTTTGGTCATAGTGCCTGAACTCTGGGCCTGGGCGCTGTCCCTCAGCATTTCAGTTCAAGGCAAGCACTCTATCACTTGAGCCATAGTGCCACTTCCAGTTTTCTGAGTGGTTTATTGTAGATAAGAGTCTCAAAGAATTTCTTCCCTGGGCCAGCTTTGAACAGTGATCCTCAGGTCTCAGTCTCCTGAGTAACTATGATTACAGCATGAGCCACCAATGCCCAGCTTTTTCTTTTTGGCAGGGGTGGGGGATGGAGGTGGAGGTGAGGGTAGGAACTGGAGTTTGAACTCAGGAATGTCATTGGACAACTGGTAATTTTTCCAAGCCATTCACAAGTAAATGGGAATGAATGAGATTACTATGACCTACAATAGATGTGTTTCCTTCTTTTTTTTTTTTTGGTCAGTTGTGGGGCTCGAACTCTGGGCTTGGGCGCTGTCCCTGTGCTCTTCAGCTCAAGGCGAGCACTCTACCACTTGAGCCACAGTGCCACTTCTGGTTTTCTAGTGGTTTTATTGGAGATAAGAGTCTCATGGCCTTTGCTGCCCAGGCTGGCTTTGAACCGCGATCCTCAGATCTCAGCCTCCTGAGTAGCTAGGATTACAGGCGGGAGCCACCAGTGCCGGGCTAGATGTGTTTTCTTCTAAGGAGTCGTGTGTGTGTGTGTGTGTGTGTGTGTGTGTGCTGGTACTTGAGCTTGAACGCATGGCCTGGGCCCTGTCCCGTCTCCTTTTCTCCCCCTCTCAAAACTAGCACTCAGCCTTCTACACTCCACTATTTCACCGTGTTGGTGATTGGGTTGGGTATACGAGTTTCATGGAAGCTGGGTGCTGGTGGGCTCACACCTGTAATACTAGCTACTTAGGAAGCTGAGAATAACAGTTCAAAGCCAGCCTGAGCAGGAAAGGCCATGAGACACTTATTTCCAATTAACCACCAGAATACTGGAAGTGGCACTGTGGCTCAAAGTGGTAGAGTGAGAGTGCTAGCATGGACCAAAAATGCTCAGGGACAGCTTTCAGGCCCTGAGTTCAAGCCCCATGAACAATTAAAAAAAAAAAAAAAAGTTGAGCCAGGCACCAGTGGCTCACACCTATAATCCTATCCTTCCTAGCTACTCAGGAGGCTGAGATTTGAGGAATGCAGTTCAAAGCCAGCCCAGGCAGGAAAAGTCTGTTAGACTCTTATGTCCAATGAACCACCAGAAAAATGGAAATGGCATTGTGACTCAAGTGGTAGAGTGCTTGCCTTGAGCTGAAGAGCTTAGGGACAGTGCCCAGGCCCAGAGTTCAAGCCCCATGACCAACAAAACAAACAAACATGCAACATTGCCCTGACATTGTTACAAATTTTGCCACCAAAATGTCAACAGATTTTAATTTAAGCTCAGAGCTAGTGGCTCACACCTGCAAGTCTAGCTACTCAGGAGGTTGAGATCTAAGGATCATGGTTTGCAGCCAGCCCAGGGAGAAAAGTGTCAAACTCTAATGTCCAACTAACCAGAAAAAAAAAAAAAAAAAGAAAGAAAAAAAGAAAGAAAGAAAAGGCAGAAGTGAAGGCTATGGCTCATGTGAGTGTGAGACTCTTATCTCCAATTAACCACCAGAAAACCAGAAGTGGTGCTATGGCTCACATGGTAGAGCACTCTGCTTGAGCTGGAGAGCTCAGGGACAGCATCCAGACTCAGAGTTCAAGTCCCACATCTGATACCCCCCCCAAAAAAAAAAAAGTTGGATTGGGAATGTGGCTGAAGCCCTGGGTTCCATTCCTCAGTATCATGTAAACAGAAAAATCCAGAAATGGTGCTGTGGCTCAAGTGATAGAGCACAGCCTTGAGCAAAAAGAAGCTCAGGGACGGTGCCCAGGCTCTGAGTTCAAGCCCCAGGACTGGCCAAAAAAAAGTTTCACAGTTTTAGGCTGGCTTTGAATCCCGGATCCTTAGATCCTTAGATCTCAGCTCCTGAGTAGCTAGGATTAGAGAAATGTGAGCCACCAGGGCTCGCTGCCCAGATATAGGTCTTGAGAAGACTACAGTACTGAAAACCCATCACAGGAAAAGGAAACCTTCCCTGGGCCTTGGTACATCGCTCTCCATTATGCTGGGTCCAGGACTATCTGATGTGCAGAGTAGAAGATCATGGACATATGTAGACAGGTCCACACCTGGTGTACACTATATCCAGGCAATAGGCATCTACTAACAAGGCATAGCCCATCCAATCCATCTCACCTCCAGTGTGACGAGACTATTAGAAATCTCCCTCCTCCAGGTATGAACACCCCCACAGGCTAGCTCAACAGAATGCAGTGTGCAGGCCCAGGAAGTATCACATTTCTCCATCTTGTGCTCCCAGCCACTCCAAGCTTTGGGGGCGGAGGGGGGGGGGGGATGAACTGCGTCGTTCTGAGTGTCAAAATCTTGAGGGAAGTGACAGGTCTCTCCAGAGCCCCTCAAAGTCCCAGGCTGCTTGCACTGCCTAGGCAGCAGCGCGCGCCACCCTACAGGCCAGGCGCGTTCTCTTTCCTCCCGGTGGCAACAGGGCTTTCCGCGGGGCCGCGCCAGACTTTTTAAGACTGTTGATTGGTCAGCAGAAAGCCAATCAAGCAGGAGAAAGGTGACATCACTAGTTCTCCCGTTTCCCTCCCTTCCCCCCGCCCCCCCCCAACCCCAAACTTCCCTACTCTGGCTACCGGCAGCAACAACCACGTGGGGGAGGGGTAAGAGTGTAGAGCCGGTGAGGTCATTGCCCCGCCCAAGCCGCTGTTGATTGGCTGCGGGACTCGCGGGTGGCGGTTGGCTGCTCCTCGCACCTCCCCCTCGTGCCGCTACCGCCGCCACTGAGAGGAGCCACCGGCGACGCCAGAGCCGGGAATCCGGGTGAGTTGGGGCCCTGGGTCTAAAATGTTCCTGGTGTCCAGCGAGACTCACGAGGAACTGCCCTTTCCGACTTTTTCTCCTCGCCCGGGTTCTTTAGTGCTCCCAGCACTCTGTCACATGGGAGTTGTAGTCTGCCTTCTACAGTCGACTACGGGTCAGAGACGTGAGAGGACTACTATTCCCAGAAGGCATTGCGCCTCGCCGGTCAACAAACGCTTGAGCCACGCCTTCTAAGCCTGCTCATTGGAGAGCCCATCCCTTCTTCTATTTCATTGGTTACTGTCCCTCAAGTCTAGGTTCCGGCCTAGGGTGCATAGTGACTGGATACTGTAGTTGTCATTCGGCACAACGTCGATTATCAATTGGCCAAAGCTGGTGTTCATCACTTGTTGTAGGGCAGGGCCCAAGACAGATCAGGCGGTCGTAGGCTTAGGTTAGTGTCGGTCCCGGAGGGAGGCCGGCCTTGGATTTTGGCCCCACCCCCTAGCGCTGCCAGAAGAGCACGATTGGTTGCTGTGAGTGTCGTTCATCGTCGAGAGGCGGAGCTGACTAGACTGCAGCTATCTATTGGCCTAGATCGGCGCCGGTCAGCGGGGTTGTGGCCATTGATTGGCTGGTTGTTCCAGCTGTTGCAGGTCCATTCACCATTTTGTGTGTTGGAGTAAAAAAAAAAGGGAGAATCGAGAGGGAGAGCCGGAGGGGGGGCGGGGAGGGACCGGACCGGACCGAGCCGGGGCCACGGCCCCCCGCCCCGAAACCCCGCTGAGCCCGAGGTGAGGGGCGGGGCCAGGGCTGACACGGGCGGGGGGTCCTGGGGGCTGGGGGACGTGTGGGGACAGGTGGCAGGAACGGGAAGAGGGGTACAGGGGGAAAGGGGTGGGCGGAATGGTGGGAAGAGGAGACGGAGTGGAGGAAGTGGTGGGGAGGGGGCTGACAGGAAAGGGGTGACAGGGAGGGGGTGTTGGGTTAGAGACCTGGTAACAGGAATAGAGAGATGACAGGACTAGATCAGAGTGACAAGGAGAGAGAGGGGATAGAGTTAGAGGGGGTGACTAGGAGGTGATGAGGAGAGGAGGTGTCAGGTCCAGAGATGGCTGACAGGAGAGTGACTGGGAGGAGTAGGTGACAGACATAAATGGGGGTGACCAGGAGAAGGTAACAGAGGAGGGGGGTCTTAGGACCTGAGAAGAGAAAAGTAGAGGTGGTGTCAAGATGGGAGAGTTGATGGTAGCAGAAGGCATGAATCCCCCAAAAACCCAGGTTCTGGAATGGTTTCAGGAGTTACTACTGAGATTCAAAGCGGGGCAAGGGCCCACAGGACCCTGGTTACCCAGGACCTAGTTATGCAGAGAGGAGTGGATGGGAAGTGAATAGGCCTCAAGGAAGGGCCCATTCTTGCAGAGTAAGGAAGCGCTGCTGGGCAATAGGGTCTAGGGGTGTCAGGCAATGTGGTCATCAGCCCTGGCTAGGTTATCCAAAGGTTGGTGTTTGGGCCAGATCTCTCGCAGTGTCCAGCACTGTAGTCCAGCAGTGGGGAGGAAGTGGTGATGGTTGTCTGATTCCTGGTCACATAGATGCCAGTCCCTGGCCCTGCAGGCCCTGCTTTTGAGGACACATAGAAAAAGCAAGGCTTGAGACTTTAGGGTCCATGGGAAGAGCAGGCCCCAATTGCAAGAGTATGATGTGAAGGATCCTGGGGAGCCAGAAGACTCATGAGGCCTGTGATTGTGTTTGACTTCTTGTCCTGGACCCCCCATTCATCCTACAGGACCCTTTTAGGCCTCTTGGGTTCTCTCAAGTCACTTCAGAGTAAAGTTTTTTTTCTCTTTTCTCAGGGCAGCTTGAGAGGGGGCGGGCAGCAATGACTGTTCAGGAAGTGGGTGAGGTTGGCCTGTTGGGCTTGTACTGCTTTCTTTGACCTTATCCTGGTTACCCCCACCTGAAGTTGGAAGATATATTTGGGAGTTGAATACTCTCCCATCCCCCCTTCCCTCTCCTCCCCCCCTCCCCCGCCCTCCCCTACCTGCCACTCTACCCTAGCCAGCCTGCCAGCCTAGCCAAAGGTGCGTGCAAGCCAGAAGAGGGGGGCTGAGCTTGCTGTTTTCATGCTGGCTGTTATAGGGGGAGGGGCAGGCCTAGTGGGATCGAGAAATCCTGGGGTGCAGCTCTGTGTCCCGTGTCCCACTGTGCAATGACGTTGTGTGTGTGCGTGTGTGTGCCCATGTTTGTGCGCGTGCGTGTGCTCATGCACGGCCCTGTGGCAGTACCGAGTATGAGCTCTTGCCCTAGACATGCCCCTGCCTGTTCCCTGCCCGGGATCTGGGGAGATGACTGCACCTGGCAGGCCTGGGGTGCAGAGTGGAGTGGGCAGCTGTCCCTTAGGACACTCAGCTGCCTAATTCTTCCATAGTGCCTGGCCACATGTGGTGTCTAGCGTGATGAGGGAAGGTGGGGTGGAGAGATCCACATCATAGCCAAGTCACCTCCATGTCTGTGGCTTAGTGCTTGGGTATGTGTGTGCATCCGTGTCTGGCTTGGTGCTCGGGTATGTGTGTGCATCCGTGTCTGTGGCTTGGTGCTCAGGTATGTGTGTGCATCCGTGTCTGTGTCTTGCTGCTCGGGTATGTGTGTGCATTTGGATGTGTGGCCCTCTAGTTGATGACTGTAAGAGTAAGCCTGCCCTGTGATCATGTGACAGGCACACACTGAAGTGGTTAGGAGCACTGGTTCTGGAGCCAGAGTACCTCAGTTCAGATCCTTGTCTGCCTCTTCCTAGCTGGCTTAATCTCAAGTCGAGTTACTTAACTCTCTGCACCTTGGTTTCCTCAAATATACAAGGAGGCTGATAGCAATTCCCCCCCAGGCCCCCCCAGCCCTGGCCTTTTGGAGCTGTTGAAAGATGAATTTTAAAAGGCAAGTTTACCCTGAGTGCTAATGGCTCATGCCTATAATCCTCACTACTCAGGAGGCTGAGATCTGAGGATTGTGGTCCAAAGCCAATCTGGGCAGGAAAAGTCTGTAAGACTCTTACTTCCAATAAGTGGGAAGTAGAGTTGTGGCTCAAGTGGGAGAGCACTAGCCTTGAGGAAAACAAAACAAAACAAAAAGCTCAGGGACAGCACACTCAAAGACTTTAAGTTCAAGCGCCAAGAATGGCACCAAAAAAAGGGAGGGGAGGGGGCAAGCTTAGCACAGGGTTCAAGACCAAGTGAGCACTCTGTGATTGTGAACAACAGTGCCCCCTCATGCTTCCTGGGGGCACTCAGCGTGTACATGTCCCGGACAGAGAAGAGCAGAGTACGATGTATAGGCTCAGGGGACCCAGGTGCCAGTGTGGATCTGGATGCCTGGGGCCCGCATGAGTTAAGTGTAAGCCAGAGAGAAGGCCTTGGGGACCATGGGATAGAAGCAGTTGAGTCAGCAAGTCTTGGAGCACCCCGAGTCTGGGGTTATTTCCTAAGTTGCTCCCTGTCGGCTCTCCCATTTTCCAGGTGCACAGAAGATGAAGCCGATGAAGAAGGCATGCACTAGTCTTTCAGGTCCTGGTAGTGGCAGCAAGTCCCCACCAGCCACCAGGGCCAAGGCCCTAAGGCGGCGAGGGGCTGGGGAGAGTGACAAGCCAGAGGAGGACGAGGAGGAGACTCAGCCACAGCAGCAGCCTGGGCCAGAAGAGGCTGAAGAGGGCGAGGAGGAGGAGGCCGCTGAGCGGGGTTCTGGGGCTGAGGGGCCGCCCCCAGAACTACACCCCAGTGACCCAGCCTCAGGCCCAGCCGAGGACCCCAAAGGGGATGGGGAGGCAGGCCGCTGGGAGCCCTCACTCAGCCGCAAGACAGCCACGTTCAAGTCTCGAGCCCCTAAGAAGAAGTACGTGGAGGAGCACAGTGCTGCTGGTGGGGGGGTGACGGGGGCTCCTGAAGAGCAGCAAGAGCGGACCCCTGAGGAGGCCAGTGCCCTGGGGGTACCCCCCCAGCCACCTGCTTCCGCCCGCTCCTCTTCCACTGACACAGCCAGCGAGCACTCGGCCGACCTGGAGGAGGAGTCTGCAGAGGCCTGTGGTCCAGGGCCCTGGCCTCCGGGTGGCCCCAGTGGTGGCTATGACCTGCGGCAGCTGCGGTCCCAGCGGGTGCTGGCACGACGTGGTGATGGCCTCTTCCTGCCGGCAGTGGTGCGCCAGGTGCGCCGAAGCCAGGACCTAGGTGTGCAGTTCCCTGGAGATCGAGCCTTGACTTTTTACGAGGGGCTTCCGGGCAGTGGCGTAGATGTGGTTTTGGATGCCACGCCGCCACCAGGTGCGCTGGTGGTGGGCACAGCCGTCTGTACCTGTGTGGAACCTGGGGTGGCAGCCTACCGTGAGGGTGTGGTGGTGGAAGTGGCCACGAAGCCAGCCGCCTACAAGGTCCGCCTCAGCCCTGGCCCTGGCTCCCAGGCAGGCCCACCGGGCTCCCTGCCACAACCCCAACCACCGCTCCACAACCGGGAGCCCGAAGAAGCCGTGTGGGTGGCCCGCTCCAGCCTGCGCCTGCTGCGGCCCCCCTGGGAACCCGAGGTCCTGCTGAGGAAGCCCCCCATTGGGCCTGAAGAAGAGCAAGCCGAGCCGGGAACCACCCTGCCGCCCTGCCCAGCTCCCCTGGACCCCAAGCAGCCTGAGGATGCTGAGGTCTCCAAGATTAGCTTCGGTGGTACCCTGGGCGTCCACTGTGAGGAGGGTGAGGAGAAGCACCCACCAGCCCTGGGCACCCCAGCCCTGCTCCCGCTACCCCCACCCCAGCTCCTGTCCCCACCCCCCAAGTCCCCAGCCTTCGCTGGCCCTGGTCGCCCTGGGGAGCAGCCTTCGCCCTGCCAGGAAGGGAGCCAGGGTGGCAGCCGGAGCAGCAGCGTGGCCTCGCTGGAGAAGGGGGCCGCCCCAGCAGCCCGGGCCCGCACCCCACTGACGGCTGCCCAGCAGAAATACAAGAAGGGTGACGTGGTCTGCACACCCAATGGCATCCGCAAGAAGTTCAACGGCAAGCAATGGCGGCGGCTCTGCTCTCGTGATGGCTGCATGAAGGAGTCACAGCGGCGAGGCTACTGCTCCCGCCACCTGTCCATGCGAACCAAGGAGATGGAGGGCCTGGCAGACGGCGGGCCCGGTGGGGCTGGGCGGCCGGCTGGTGTGGCAGCCCGGGAGGGCAGCACCGAGTTTGACTGGGGGGACGAGACATCAAGGGACAGCGAGGCCAGCAGTGTGGCTGCCCGGGGTGACTCGCGCCCGCGCCTGGTGGCCCCCGCGGATCTGTCACGCTTCGAGTTTGATGAGTGTGAGGCAGCCGTGATGCTGGTGTCGCTGGGCAGCTCCCGTTCGGGCACGCCCTCCTTCTCCCCCGTCTCCACGCAGTCGCCCTTCTCGCCAGCCCCCTCGCCCTCACCTTCGCCCCTCTTTGGCTTCCGCCCTGCCAACTTCAGCCCCATCAACGCCTCGCCCGTCATCCAGCGCACAGCGGTTCGCAGCCGCCACCTGAGTGCAAGCACCCCAAAGGCTGGCGTGCTGACGCCCCCCGACCTGGGCCCCCACCCGCCGCCACCTGCCCCCCGAGAACGTCATTCCTCCGGCATCCTTCCCACTTTCCAGACCAACCTAACCTTTACCGTGCCCATCAGCCCTGGGCGGCGCAAGACCGAGCTGCTGCCCCACCCAGGGGCATTGGGGGCCCCTGGAGCAGGAGGTGGGGGTGCTGCCCCAGACTTCCCTAAAAGTGACAGCTTAGACTCTGGTGTGGACTCAGTGTCCCACACGCCGACCCCCTCCACGCCGGCTGGCTTCCGGGCTGTGTCACCTGCCGTGCCCTTCTCACGCTCCCGCCAGCCTTCACCCTTGCTGCTGCTGCCCCCGCCTGCCGGCCTGACCTCGGATCCAGGGCCCTCCGTGCGCAGGGTGCCCGCAGTGCAGCGGGACTCGCCCGTCATCGTTCGCAACCCTGATGTACCACTACCCTCCAAGTTCTCTGGAGAGGTGGGCACGGCCGGTGAGGTCCGGGCTGGGGGACCTGGGCGGGGCTGCCGGGAGACTCCCGTGCCCCCTGGGGTGGCCAGTGGAAAGCCTGGCCTGCCCCCACCTCTGCCGGCTCCTGTGCCCATCACTGTGCCTCCAGCCGCGCCCACCGCTGTGGCCCAGCCGATGCCCACCTTTGGGCTGGCTTCATCACCCTTCCAGCCTGTGGCCTTCCATCCCTCACCCGCTGCCCTGTTGCCGGTCCTTGTGCCAAGCAGCTATACCAGCCATCCTGCCCCCAAGAAGGAAGTCATCATGGGCCGGCCTGGAACAGGTAAGAGAGCAGGTGTGTGTGGTGAGGGGGAGGAGGGCTCCCTTTAAACAAGGCCCCTTTCGACTTGGGCTCTAACGAGGGAGGGGTTGCCCACCCTAGGAGGGGCTTAGGGGAGGCTGGCTTCCTCTGTGCACAGATGTTACAGTACAAACCCTTGTCAGGCAAGGGCAGTGCTAAGTACTAGATTATCTAACCAGATTTCATACTGCTCCATCATGCAGCACTTACCACACACATTTCGAACAGGTTGTAAACAGCTCAGTTTATCTTCACAACTAGGCTACCAGGTGGGTGCCATGATTGTGCTTGTTTAGAAGAAACTGAGGCCAGGTTAGTGACTTGCTGGGGGTCACATGGCTCATCAGCCCGAGGGCTCTCTTGCACACTGAGGTCGCTGACTCATGACCAGTGGGCTGTGGTTCAGGGTAACCCATGGGAAGACTGCGGCTGTCTAACAGGTGTTGCCTCAGGCAGTGGCAGGACCAGGGCTGAAGGGAGCCAGGGGTGCTGCTGGCACTCTCCCAGGTGTGAATTCAGCCTGCCACTTTTAGGATGGGCTGGGAAGCGGGGAATTGGAGAATGAGTGGGAGTCAGTGGAGCTGAGCCTGGAAGGCTGGAGATGATGGGCGGTGCGAAAGGCTGTGTGACTAGAGGGCCTAGCCTGGAATGCAGACTGTGGCATTGCTTCTGAGATGGTGCTGGAGGGCTTGGGGGCCCAGGCCAGCCTGGGTCTTCAGGAGCAACTCAGGCAGGGAGACAGTGCTGTCATCAGCCCCATCCCTGGCAGTTTTGTTGATTTTCTCAAGCTACTGGTGGCTTGTGCATGGCCTGGCCTTGTGCTAGATGGTGCTGAGGACCCAGCCCTGCTGGTACTCATCACGTAGTCCCTAGAGTAGATAGGCCTGTCCCTGCAGAGTGACAGTCTATAGAGTTTGTCAGGGATGAGGTGATCAAAGCCTAGGATCTAGGCTGAAAAATCAGGAGAAGACTGAATCACCCCCCCCCACCCCCCCACCCCCCCTCCCGCAGGGCAGGTAGCTGTGAGCTCAGTAAGGCAGGCAGGCTGATAGACAGACAGGACCTTCAGGCAGAGAAAAGTCTGCAAAGGCCTTGAGGCAAAAGTAGATCATTGCAGCCAGCCAGGTGGCTCCCATCTGTAATCCCAGCTACTCAAGAAGCTGAGATCTGAGGAAACTGTTAGAAGCCAGCCCAGGTCCTGAGTTCAAGCCCCAGTACTAGAGAGGAGATGGGGGGGTGAGGGGAAGAAGGAGATGATTCTAGGTTTGGAATCTGTGAAGCCAAGAAGCTCTGGAAGGTAGTTGAGTGTTGGGATGTCGGTGGTTGGATTGGTGAGCAAGGTTCAAATTAGACAGCCATTAGGAGACCTGTGAACTTTATCCCCAGGGCAGTAGACAGTCAGAAAAGGTTTTGAGCAGGCTTCACCTCTATGTCACCAGGGGATGTTGAAGTCCCTGAGACGGAGGTCGGCGCCCTGAAGGAAGGTGTCTGGGTTGTGGATGTGGGAAGGACTTGCTGTGGCTTGGGCCGGGACAGGGGCCAATTCAGGAAGGAGCTAGGCCCTGCCCTTCCAGAGAGCTCCAGCCCAGGCCTGTCTCTCCAAGGCACAGGGACGTGGGCCTGCCTGCCTGCCTGCCTGTCTGCCTGTCATGGGCTGTGTTTTACCCTTCCCCCAACTCTGTTTGCATCTGTTACTGTAGTTCACAGCAAAATTTCTCCAGGGAAGATTTCTGTCTGTGCAGATAACGAACCTACATCTGAGGAGCTCTAACCACCCCATTGCCCTCCTCCCATGGCATCTCTAGTGACTGTCACTGGTACCTAGGAAGGGTTGGCATTGCTGCCTACTAGGGCAGGCCCATGAGGGACTATTGCCACATTATTATTATTATTTTGGTTGGTCGTGGGGCTTGAACTCTGGGTCTGGGTTCCCCAGCTCTTCAACTCAAGGCGAGCGCTCTACCAGTTGAGCCACAGAGCCACTTCCAGTTTCCTGGTGTTTAATTAGAGATAAGAGTCTCACGGACTTTCCTGCCTGGGCTGGCTTTGAACCTTGATCCTCAGATCTTAATCTCCTGAGTAACTAGGATGACAGGTGTGAGCCACAGGTGCCCAGTACCACCATTTTCTTTTTTTTTTTTTTTGAGTCCGGTCGTGGGGCCTGAACTCTGGGCCTGAGGGCTGTCCCTCAGCTCTTCAGCTCAAGGCTAGCGCTCTACCACTTGAGCCACAGCGCCACTTCCGGCTTTTTTTTTTTTGCTTATGTGGTGCTGGGAATCGAACCCAGGGCCTCAGGCATGCAAGGCAAGTGCTCTTACCACTGAGCCACCTTCCCAGCCCATGTACCACCATTTTCCAGATGAGGGAAAGTAAAGCCCTGAGAAAAGAAGAATTGTGACTGAACTCACCCAGCCAGGCCAGGGGGGACAGGACTGGGCTTTGAACTAAGTCTCGTAGTCTCTCACTACCAAGAATTACAGTAGTAATGACTTCCAGAGCAAAATTGCAGGCCAAGGTTAAGTGACTTAATCCAAGGTTACCCAAGTAAGAGAGAAGAGAGAGAGAGAGAGAGAGAAGGAGGGAGGGAGAGAGAAAGAGAGAGAGAGAAGAGACAAGATTTAAACCTAGGTTATCTGGCTCCAGCTCCCAGGCTCTTAAGTACTTGTAAGAGTAATGAACTTGTAAGAGTTATGATGATGATGGTGATGGTGATAGTCATTCCTTATTGATCATATACTATGAGCCCAGCTTGAGGTCCTTTCCTCCAAACCACATGGTATTGTGAAGCAGTGATTACCAGCCCTTATTGTCCAGGGTTAGGACTGAGGTTCCGGCCTCTTTGTTGGAGGCCACCTGGCTGTCAGAACTTGTCCAGTGCCTGTCCTAGCAGTTCTGAACCTTCCTGACAACACCCAGGCTGAGGTATCCTGCTACCCACAGGTGCCAGCCAGCTGCCTTTCATTCGCCTCCCAGAGGCTTCCCTCACCCTCCAGAGGCATGCACTTTGGGGTGTACGCCCTCCAAGGCCCAGGTAGGGGCAGAACATGCCCAGTGGCACAGTGAGGCCATAGTCCTGGCCCTTTCTGCCCTCGGTGCCACCTGACCCTCCATGGGAGGGCAGCAGGTGTGAGGGGGTGGCCCAGGGCAGCCTGCCTGCTCTGCCCCCCGCCAGGCATTTGCTTCCGCTGGGGGACATGCTGGGGCAGGCTGCCGGCATTCTCTACATTCTGCGCATGGCATGGCCAGCCAGCTGTCTTGCCACCTCCCTCTGACTCTTCCTGACCACTCCTCCCACCTCCCAGAGTCTATAGCCCCCCGCCTTGGGGGCCAGATGTCTCAGCCCCATTCCTGGCATGGTCTCCCTCCCAGCTTCCTGCATGGCTTCCCCTTATTGACAAGAATTCGTCCCTCCTCCTGGGCCTCTATCCCACTGTCTGAGCTCCTGTCAGTCTCCAAGCTACTGGGTGGCCGTCTTTGCCTGGGTTCCTATATCTGTCTATTCCTTATTTCTGGGTCTTTGTGTCTCTTTGGTCCTCTTTCTGTCCACTTAACTCTCTCTGACTCTGGCTCTGTATGTATACCTTTCTGGGTTTTTCCCTCCTGGACTTAGTTTTGGTCAAATCTTTCAGTACAGCCTCTTCTTACCTTGGCTTCTAAGTGTTGGGAGCCTGTGTCTCTGGGCCTGCCTTGGCCTCCTACCTGGTCTTCCCACTTCCCCTCTTCAGCAGTCTTGCTGTACCCATGCCAACCTCCTGCCCCAACCCTGTGCACACTCAGTGCTCATCTTAAACCAGTGAGCAGGTGCTAAGCACCAGGTCCCCGGCTCCTGCATTGGGGAGTGTTGTGAGGGTGTCTAGACCAGGAACCCCCCTGCTGCTTCATACATGAGCTGTTCTCTGTTACCTTAAAACCTGCTTGAAAAATGTCGGGATCCATCTTGCAGATGCATCCACCATCCAAGCACCTGTTCCCCAGACCAACAGGAAGGCGGGGGTTGTATGGGCCAAGCTAGGAGATCCTGTTGTGGGAGGTGGCAGGAAAGCAGCTCCCATGCCCACCCACCCACTAGAGGGCATGACCTCCAGCCCCTGTGCCAGCTCAAAGTACCCACCAAGTATGCCCAGGCAGGTGGGGAAAATGAGACAGAGTGGGACGAAGGAGCTTGAGCCTCTTAAATCCAAGTGCTTTCCACTACAACTTCCATTTTCTCTCGACCTCATAGACACCACTAGAAGTCAGCTTCTTCCTCATTCCTCTGCCAGGTCCCTGGCAGAGCAGTTCTATGGCAAGTGGGTGGGGAAGGCAGACAAGATGCTGGCACAGATAAGGATGAGCCAACGGAGGTGTTAAGCCAGATGACAGGGGCAGTCAGTGGCTCATGGGAACTCGGGAGGACGGTTCAGGTAGGCTTTTCATTGGAGACAGTTGAGTTGAAGTATGAGGGGTGAGCAGATTTCAGGGGGAAAAAAAGGCAATCCAGGCCAAGGCACTTGTATGAGCAAAGGGCACAAGAGGTGAAAGTGCATGAACTAACCCATGTTAGCTGAGGTCAGAGTTGACACTAGAACCCAGGCTTGGAGGATGAATGTCATAGAGGGACAGGCTTAGGCAGGGGAGGTTTGCATTGTGCCCACGCCTATAATTCTAGCTACTCAGGAGACTGAGATCTGAGGATCCTGATTCAAAGCCAGCCAGGCAAGGAAAGTCCATGAGATGTGTGTGTGTGTGTGTGTGTGTGTGTGTGTGTGTGTGTTTGCCAGTCCTGGGGCTTGAACTCAGGGTCTGGGCTCTGTCCCTGAGCCTCTCTGTGCTCAAGGCTAGCACTCTACCACTTGAGCCACAGGACCACTTCAGGCCTTTTCTGTTTATGTGGTACTGAGGAATTGAACCCAGGGCTTCATGCATGCTAGGCAAGCACTCTACCACTGAGCCACATTCCCAGACCTCCATGAGATTTTTTTTTTTTAATTGTGAAAATACCA